GATTTGGTACTTAGCATACATGTACAAGCATGAAGCATAGTATACACAGACATTTGCCTGATACCTGGTAAAAAAATCATATATATTTTTGACAATTTATTTAATGTTCATTTTGAAGTAAAATGGTGTTAGTTTGCCAACATAGAAGATACTTGTATAAATTTTTTGACGTCTATACTTCTTTAGTTCTGTCAAACTTTTTTGATATTCTGAAAAGAATAAGGTAATGGGTGTTGGAGAAGAAAAATTATAAAGTGCTCATTATCTCTGGATCATTGGCATGGGAATTAAATTACTAGTAAATTATCCTCGTATCATGTGCTTAAGATGGAATTGTAATGAAAAACACACAAACACTAGTTTCTGTTGAGAATTGTTCTTTGTTTTGAGATATGACGAAACATCTTTATAATTTTCTTTTTCAGTGGAATTTCCCATCAGCTATGATAACACGTAAAGCTGGAGCTGCCATTGCTGCAGGGTGTACTGTGGTCATTAAACCAGCAGAAGATACGCCGTTTTCTGCACTCGTTTTGTGTGATGTATGTATGTATGTACTGGAGCAGGAGGGGAGGGTTGTTGTTAGATGTATTAAGTTTGTAAAGACATGACAGAAGCTGCCCATTTTGTTTTATGTAGGTTACAGTCAGTTTCAGAATATTTGTTATCAAGCCTTACAAACACACTAAAACAATCTCCCCTTTCTATATTATATGTTAGTAAGAACATAGGATGCCATGCATATATTTCTCTCTCAATCTGGCCTGGGTTAAACAGGTAATTCAACAATGAACCTGTATTGGAGACATTATTAAGATTTTTATTTCTCGATTTATGTTTGTACAGGGGATGCCGGAATATTTATCTATCAAAAAAAAAAAAAAAAAAAATTTCAATCAGGAATTATGTCAGCTGTGTTAGTACATGAGAAGTTTCCTTTTTTTCAGTTGGCAGAGAAGGCAGGCTTGCCACCAGGTGTCATAAATGTTGTCACCTGTTCAAGACAGAACACAGTGGAAGTTGGGAAGGTGCTATGTGAGAGCCCTCTGGTGGCAAAAATATCATTTACAGGTTCTACTAACACTGGGAAGGTAGTGTAACATATTTATGCATTTTTTATTGAAATAAATGAAATATGTAAATCCTGATAGAAAGATTGAAATAAGTAAATGATGTTAATTTTTTTAATAAAAAAAAAAGGAAAACGATTACTTACCAAAATATTTACTGGCATTAGTGTTTCCAATTTTCCCTTGTACCATCATGCTAGCACATTTGTATAAGATCAAACAAACCTTATGAACATAAACTTCAGATGCCTCATAATCCTGTCAGTTAGTAGTTCTTGCATTTTATCACAGTCAGTATATAGGGGCCTTTATGAAAAGGGGCGTAGGAAATGGGTGAATTTTGATGCCAAGGTTACCCTGATTATACAAAAGACCTTGTTTGCACATAACTGAAGTTGGCACATTTTTTTGGTTCCAGATTCTCTTGCAGCAGTGTGCCAACACAGTAAAGCGAGTGTCCATGGAGCTGGGTGGCAACGCTCCCTTTGTGGTCTTTGACAGTGCAGATGTGGACGCAGCTGTGATGGGAGCAATGGCCTGCAAGTTCAGAGTTAGTGGTCAGGTGAGAGTGTACACCAGGGGACATTGTGGTAGTTGTGACAGTGTGATAGGTGTGGAAGCATATAATTTTAGGGTGTGTTAGGTTATTGTGGTTAAATTAGCTGAGCCACTTACCTTACCTGAAATTTCTCCAGATTTAACTGGTTAATAGTCCACTTGAATGCAGTATTGCATTGGTTTTAAAACTGAAATGATTCATGTTTGTAGTAAAAATTGACAACTGAAAATTTATCCTGAGGAGAAGCAGACAAAAATTATGTTTAAAAGCTTTAAAAGACCACTGCAAATTGACCCCTGAGTTATAAGTGACAGTTTGATGATTTATCAGGCAATAATTGCTTACCCTCTCTTTACAGACGTGTGTGTGTGCCAACAGGTTCTTGGTGCAGGAGGGAATCCATGACCAGTTTGTACAGAAGCTTGGGGAGCAGATGCTGAAACAGCTGAAAGTGGGGGATGGGTTCTCCGAGGACGTCACACAAGGCCCACTGATTAATAGTAAAGGTGTAGACAAGGTCAGTTGTCTTTTCTTTTCTTTTCTGTTGACTCTTTCAAATACTTTGACTGTTCATGCTCTTTGTTGTTTCTTTGGATCTAAAAATGAAAATTTCCTGCCAAAAACGGCTGTATTTCTGTATTATTAGGTAGATGAGCTGACCCAGGATGCTGTGTCAAGAGGAGCTCAGTTGAAGATGGGCGGGAAGCGACACTCAGCTGGCGAGAACTACTACGAGCCTACGCTCCTCACTGATGTCACGTCAGAAATGAGGTGTTTTAAAGAGGAAATCTTTGGTCCTGTGTCAGCCGTAATTAAGTAAGTGTGATTTCTAATAAAAGGTCCTGTTTGCATTTTTAAATTTTTAAATTTTTAAATTTTTTTGCATTAAAATGGTACAGTTTGACTTATCCCAACACAGCTTTTTTTTTTTTACTTTATTACTTTTTTTAATAAGATCATAATAATACTTTATGTTAGAACTGTGAACATGGCTTCATGTTTGTTATGTTTTCCAGATTTAGAACTGAAGAGGAAGCCGTAGCACTAGCAAATGCAAGCTCCGTTGGCTTGGCAGGTAACTTCGCAATATTCGTTACCTTGAATTCCTCAGTGAGACTTAGAAGTATGCTACTAAGACTTGTAGGTGTACAATTTATGCCCCAGAAGAAAAAGGTTTGAATTATAATGAAATGTTTATGGCATGTCATACTATCTAAATTACATTTTTATTGAAATATGTTATATTGTTTGGTAAAATCCTGTGACAGCTTTTTTTTTTCATTTTTCACAAAAATGAATTTTTTGTCCCTTGATGTTTCATTGTCCATCACACACCTTTATCAGACAACTTTCAGTTTGACACAAATTGAACTATTGCCATTTCATCCAGACTTCAGAATTAACCAATATTTATGCCACGTCTTGTTAAAAGGCTTATTCTGTTTTTTCAGGTTACTTTTTCTCCAGAGATTTGTCTCAAATTTGGCGCGTGGCTGAGAATATGGAGGTTGGCATGGTTGCCGTTAATGACGGCATACTGTCTACAGTGGAGGCCCCTTTTGGTGGCGTCAAGGAGTCCGGGATTGGGAGAGAAGGCTCCAAATATGGGATTGATGAATACATGAATATTAAGTACATTTGTATGGGTGGGATTCAATAGAACTGAACTGGATAGCACATCCTAGCATTCACAGCTGGGCTGTCACAGCTAACACAATGGGGAAAAATTTCTGTTGTTTCTGTGGTTCGTGCAATAGCAGATTGAAAGAGTAAGATGTTGAACTGGATATAAAAAGCTATGAAAGAATAACATATTGAACTAGATATAAATATCAACCTTTACAGAGGGGAAAAGAACTTACTGTGCAAATGGTTTTTACTTTAAAATGGGGAATGAGAGACTTTGCTGACCTTTGCCTCATGCTTGTTTGTGTGGAATTATAGTATAATCAGTCTGTATAGAAACCTATTCAATGTGACCCAACATTTGTCACTTATTGCTGTCAGTTATGCAATTACTCAATCATGATAACATTTTAAGGGTGAGGAATTAACTTTAATTTTACTAAAATCAGTTTATATTTCACTTTCCCCAAGGAGCTTTGTCATTATGCATATCACGTTAATGCAACTAAAAAAGACCTTTCAATATTTTTATAAAGTCTCGCAGAGTTTCATTTGCACTGCTCCTTGAGTGCCAAAATAAAATTGTTACCATAGTGAGATAAGCTTCTAAATCTTTTGTCTTTACCTTCAATCTCATTCTTTTTGAGTGTTGTGGTAATGTGCCAATAATAGAGAGAGGTTCAGAAGAGATATTTTGGAACATTCCCCAACACGGATGCCCTTGTTAATCACAAAACCTATAATTATATAACTTGAAGACTATAATGCTGAAAAAAGCCCTCAGTATATAACTTTATTGAGTTCATAATGCCTGTATTACAATTTAATAATACCTTACAGAATGCTCTACACAGACCTACTAATCCTCAATATGTAAGCCTATTCTATAGTTAAACATATAATTCAAAGCAATAACTGAGCAAAAAGAATTCAAGGTAAAATATGTGAAAATGATGTGCAAGAAGCCAGCTTGCCTACAAGATATATTCATAATGAATGTAGACGGCCACTAGAAGTCCTGTGGTGTACCCCATAGAAGGGCCAGTCAACATCTCAGAAACTCAACATGAAGTATGACCCCCTTCCGGATTGGGGACTTGCTAGTCCAACGGTCAAATATGGCCGACCCACTTGAATACTTCCCCACGGGATATCTATTCAGTGTCTATTAGCGGATTAAACGGCAAGCTTTGTAGTGGGTTGCCATGTTTGACCCTCGGACAAGTTAGTCCCCTATTCTGAATGGCACCTATGACTTCAAGCACCTGTCTTTGTACATACTTCAACACACAGTATTGCCTGTTATCATCATGGTCCCTGGCTGGCCAAACATGACACTGTCAACCTCCTGTCATTTGACTTCTTACACCACTAGAAGCACCCTGCTTAGTATAACTATTGCACAATGGATTCTTAATGAAAAGAATGATAAAATTGTTGCATTTTTTCACCAATTGGAAAACTGTACACAGATTTATGCATACACCATCTGATGATTACATTTCCTGCATGGAGATGTAAAAAAAATTCAAATTTCAGATTTAATAGGAAAAGGGAAAAAATTGCTCTCTCTTTTAAATTGTCTTAATCTAAGAAACATGACTGTGGATTTCACAATTTTGCATAAATTCAACATTTTTGTTTATCAAATATAGTTTTTTGGGGGGTTATTGTGCTGTAAATCACACGATTAACTATACTGTGATACCTACTTAATATACTATGAAGTATTTTATGTAATATCATTTTATCAACTCAAAACATTTTGATGCCAAATCATTCCAACAAGAACTTGGCCTGCAAACAAATATCTGTTACCTCAAACCAATAATTACTGGACTTCATTTCTTCTAACATAAAGTAGTTCAATATAATCAAAGAAAGCTTGATGCATTATAACACCAAAAAATATAAGGTAAAAATTATAAGAAAATGAAACAATGGATTTAATGCCCTATAATACACTGTATAAGACTGTAAGTACTACTAACTGAAATGATGAAAATAATTATCTTTTAATTGATATTTCCAAATCTGTATCTAATTTTTAAATGAAAGCAAAAGTTCTTAATATCTAATACTTGTAATTTGAATAGACCTAAATTTGCAGTATAAAACAAGTCATACTGCAAAAAATCTGATTCTGGATTATAAAAAATTTGTGCATAAGATACATGAAATACAAATATCTTCAAATATTTACACATAATACACTTATTATACAATTCATCTTTCTCACACTGAGTGGCATACTAAAGTGACGCAGACTATACCGGAGCACTAACATGTAATTGCACTTCAGGAGAATTTACTTGCTTTTATAAGTTTTCATAATAATGTTCGAGTAAAAAATTGATAAAATGGTCGTGCCAAGCACAAGGTTCAGCAACACAATGACCAATCTTAAGTTGCCAATCTCTCATAGTATAAAGCACCAGTGGAGACTATACGGCTTAAGTATGACGCTGGATGTGGAAAGTGTCTTAGGACAAAGATATAATTAAAGTTAAAGAGAAAGTGAGTGGGATGCAATTTTATGAAGAGACTTCCCCTTTACCATCCTCAATGAGTGTTACAATCCATGGAGAAAAAATATTGCATCTCTTTTGAAGGTAGACATTTCAACATTATTACCATTGCCACTAGGCAATCCAGTGATACTCTAGCAAAACTGAACTAAAAATACTAAACTGAAAATACTTTGTCAAAAAAGTGCCAACTTATATTTGGTTTTCTTAAGACTTGTTGGCAGACTGAGGATTTTTAGAGGCGGGGTAAGAGTCGTCCCTGGGTTATAAATATCAGTAGGTGTTATTAACATTGTATACATTGCTATAACTGGTGGGTGTGTTGTAGATCCCCGTCAGCGCGGCAGAGACGGCCTGGTCATACATCTGTGTCTGTTGCTGCTGCTGCTGTTGGGAGAAATGCATGGCATGTGGCGACAGGAACGGATGTAACCCCATTGGAGGCTGAAACTGAGGCTGCTGTTGTTGTGGATGAAGGGCCAGCTGAACATCGCCGCCACCACCGCCACCGCCGCCATTGCCACCTCCTCCTGGTTGGTCTGGGTAACGCAGGTGAGTGACCTGTTGGCTGGGAACTGGGGTGGTTAACGCCAACATCTCGCGGAGAAAGTTACCATGCTTGGCTGGATCCTCTGGGATAGGTGGGTCCATCACAGCACTCATGGTAGCAGCTGTCAGATCCTTGGATGTTATCCTTGCAGATGCAGCCTTTGCCAGCTTACTGGCTGTAGCACGCTTCTTCAGTTGTGTCCGCAGTGCTCTCTCTTCCTCCTCGTCAATGGCTGGAATATCATCCAATGAGAGCTTGAAGATCTTGAGCTCGCCGCCAGGGTGATACTTGTGGATGTGCTTGCGACAGTTGCTGCGCAAATTGGCGCGGAAATGACAGAAGCCGCACTTGTAGGGTTTCGCATTGGGGTGCTCGTGTTTCACACGAACATGTGTCCTCAAATCTTTGGCAGTCTAATAATAAAATGGAAAGAGTTGGATTAAAACTTGAGAAATTAACAAATACACCATCAACTGAATGAAGTTGTAAGTTATTAATGACAAACTTTTCTTAGACATACACCATTTTCCTACTGCTTATTGTAAATATACTGGTCTATTTATTATAACCATATAACCAATAAATGAAGCAAAAGATTCAACCTTTACAGTTCATCATTTTACTATTTCTAACATGATTATATAATCGTAAACCTATTTTAAAATAGATATTACATAATGAACTGAAAGATACATGACTCAAATTTGTTCTTTTCACAAGTTTCTTTCACACACCCAAACACATACACACACAAACATTTATTCCATATTAACCACAGAATACAAATGAGCTGAAATATTGAAGCACAGGCCTGGTACTAACAGGTGCTTTGTAGTCACACTTGAGGCAAGGGAACAATCTCTCTCCTGTGTGGATGATCATATGTCTCTTCAGCGTCTGAATGGTGGTCACTCCTTTACCACACACTGAACAGATGTGGGCCTTGATACCTGGAGTGATGATAATAATAATAATAATAATAATAATAAATTATAATAATAGTGATGATGATGATGAGTTTTTTTATAACTGCACTCCATTTTTATCAATGCTGTGTACAAGACAGGACTTAAAAATTTTAACTGAATATTTTACAATGTGTGTGTGTGTGTGTGTGTGTGTGTGTGTGTACTAGCATGCATGTGTGTGCTTGTGTCCACGCATGTGTCATCATGCATATTCATGTATTTCTCATAACTTGACTACCATGTGAACATATATATTCCTGATCCCTGATGTTTATACAATAGCGTATAGTATGTGTTAATTACCTGAATGTCTGGCTACATGTCTCTCAAAGATGTACTGCTTCAGTGTCTGGAAGTCACATAACTCACACTTAACCACCTTCTTGTTAGGGGGAAGAATTCCATGCTTGTAGAACTGGTGATCTGGTGAAAAAATGAATCCTAGCATAACTGATGATGATGATGATGTATCTTAGAAAGAATTTCATAAGCTGTGTAAAGCTATAAAAGTTACTATAATAGATTCTTCAAACCACAGCTAAAACTCACATGTCATAACCACAGACTAAAATACTTCAATGTCTCACAAAACAATGAAATATTGAAATGGTGATAATTCCAAATTTTAGTTGTGTTTTAAATAATCTTATTCCTTTGTTTATGTTTTAGTTTGACATACTTGGTCTATTGAAACACTGCCCAATCAAATGTATTTGATATATCTTTGCTAAGTTACCGAGGGCAGAGTAAAAATAGGTGGAGCACTGACTCGTGTCATAGGTATGAAGAAATAAAAGCATGCAAAACTCAACAANGAGAAAGTGAGTGGGATGCAATTTTACAACTGAAGATGAGACCCCCCCTTTTACCAGCCTCAACAAGTGTTACACTCCATAAATAATAAAAAAAATATTGCATCTCATTTTAAGGTAGACATTTCAACATAATTACCAGATAACCCAGTGATACTCTAGCAAAACTGAACTAAAAATACTTGGTCAAAAAAGTACAAACTAAAATTTGCTTTTCTTAAGACTTGCTGGCAGACTGAGGATTTTTAGAGGCGGGGTAAGAGTCGTCCCTGGGTTATAAATATCAGTAGGTGTTATTAACATTGTATACATTGCTATAACTGGTGGGGGTGTTGTAGATCCCCGTCAGCGCGGCAGAGACGGCCTGGTCATACATCTGTGTCTGTTGCTGCTGCTGCTGCTGGGAGAAATGCATGGCGTGTGGCGACAGGAACGGATGTAACCCCATTGGAGGCTGAAACTGAGGCTGCTGTTGTTGTGGATGGAGCGCCAGCTGAACATCGCCACCACCACCGCCACCGCCGCCATTGCCACCTCCTCCTGGTTGGTCTGGGTAACGCAGGTGAGTGACCTGTTGGCTGGGGACTGGGGTGGTTAAGGCCAACATTTCGCGCAGAAAGTTACCATGCTTGGCTGGATCCTCTGGGATGGGTGGGTCCATCACAGCACTCATGGTAGCAGATGTCAGATCCTTGGATGTCATCCTCGCGGATGCAGCCTTTGCCAGCTTACTGGCTGTAGCACGCTTCTTCAGTTGTGTCCGCAGCGCCCTCTCTTCCTCCTCGTCAATGGCTGGAATATCATCCAATGAGAGCTTGAAGATCTTGAGCTCGCCGCCAGGGTGATACTTGTGGATGTGTTTACGACAGTTGCTGCGCAAATTGGCGCGGAAATGACAGAAGCCACACTTGTAGGGTTTGGCATTGGGGTGCTCGTGCTTCACACGAACATGTGTCCTCAAATCTTTGGCAGTCTAGAAAGAGTTAGATTAAAACTTGAGAAGTTAACAAATACACCATCAACTGAATGAAGTTGTAAGTTATTAATGACAAACTTTTCTTAGACATACACCATTTTCCTACTGCTTATTGTAAATTTACTGGTCTAATTATTTTAAGCATGTAACCAATAAATGAAGCAAAAGATTCAACCTTTACAGTTCATCATTTTACTATTTCTAACATAATTATATAATCGTAAACCTATTTTAAAATAGATATTACATAATGAACTGAAAGATTCATGACTCACATTTGTTCTTTTCACAAGTTTCTCTCACACACCCAAACACACACACAACCATTTATTCCATATTAACCACAGAATACAAATGAGCTCAAATATTGAAGAACAGGCCTGGTACTAACAGGTGCTTTGTAGTCACACTTGAGGCAAGGGAACAGTCTCTCTCCTGTGTGGATGATCATATGTCTCTTCAGCGTCTGAATGGTGGTCACTCCTTTACCACACACTGAGCAGATGTGGGCCTTGATACCTGGATTGATGATAATAATAATAATAATAATAATAATAATAATGGTGATGATCATATGTCTCTTCAGCGTCTGTATGGTGGTCACTCCTTTACCACACACTGAACAGATGTGGGCCTTGATACCTGGAGTGATAATAATAATAATAATAATAATAATAATAATAATAATAATAATAATAGTGATGATGATGATGATAACTGCACTCCATTTTTATCAATGCTGTGTACAAGACAGGACTTAAAAATTTTAACTGAATACTTTACAATGTGTGTGTGTGTGTGTGTGTGTGTGTGTGTGTACTAGCATGCATGTGTGTACTTGTGTCCACGCATGTGTCATCATGCATATTCATGTATTTCTCATAACTTGACTACCATGTGAACATATATAT